CTCTCACAATATACACCAATATGTGGTCTGAAACAAAGTCACACTGTCAAATCTCAAACAAGATTTGGTTGTCACCTCTCAAATCTCCTCATGGATGCTCTGGAAAAACTCCCTGCCCTTCCTTACGTAAACTTCTTTGCCCAAGACTCCAATCATTTCCACTCCTAAATGTCCCAAAGCCAACTCTGTTTTTGAAATCAATCAAACCATCTCCTACCTTGCTTGACTGGAAATCAAGTCTGTGAATATGATCAAAGGTATCTAGTGAGTTATTCCACATAACCACTGGTCCCTTCTTTAACAAATGACACTCTAAAATAAATTTTTAACATCCTCCAGGAGTTGTGTTTCTATACCATCAGAATTCTTTGCTAAGAAAGGAGCACATGGGGAAATTGAATGATTTACCCCACAGGTATGTGAATAGTAACTTAAAAAGAAAAGGACTTAAAAAGAAAAGGATTTGGAAAGGCACTAGAGAAGGTGAACCATCTCTATGATCCTTTTATTAATTGGGAAGGGAAGGCCTAAGGACCAACTAAATAGATGGGTCACAATTAGGCAGGGCAATTTAGGAAAAAGAAAGCAAAATAGGTTATATTCTGTGAACAAAAGTGTATTTGACAGAACAAAAAATACACAAAAACTGACCTTGAGTTGGCCATTAAGTAAGCAGTAACGCTCTCTTCCACTTTAGGGGCCTTCTCTTGCAGAACTATAGGACCAAAAAATAAAACACAGTCATGAGATCCTGGACTGGCTAAATAAAAACACACTGTTCACAAACAGAAAAGCCCCATCACCCACAACAAACACATGCTGACAGAAGTAAGAGGTAAAATAGAATACTGCTCATTCTTGTCCGTATCAGAAAAAAATATATCACCAATGACTAGACCTGGACTCTAAGTTCACAGCAGTTTTTAGGGACACAGCACAGGAAATACTGTGGTTCTGAAATGTGTAAATGGCATCCAAGGGTAGTTCTCTCAAGAAGGAATCCTATGGGCCNGGTTCTGAAATGTGTAAATGGCATCCAAGGGTAGTTCTCTCAAGAAGGAATCCTATGGGCCAGCCCGGTGGCGCACTGCTACAGTGCGCCGCTTCGGAGCGCGGTGGCGCTCCTGCCGAGGGTTCGGATCCCACATACAGACCGGTTCCGCTCACTGGCTGAGCGAGGTGCGGGTGCAGCACCGAGGTTTGCGATCCCGTTGCCGGTCCCGGTCCGGTACGGGTGAGACACTGAAGGTTGCGACCCGTTGCCGGACACGAAAAAAGACAAAAAGGAAAAAAAAAAAAAAAAAAAAAGAAGGAATCCTATACCTGTGCCCTCCCTTCATGTCTTCTCAAGAGCCTGTTTGGGAGGCAAATAAACTTTCATTCTAGGGCTAAAATTCATGACTTTCCTCAAATGCCCATTTCTCTACAGCTGGATTCAAATGTCTACAGGATGTGAGGACAGAAGAGAATCCAGGGAAACGTGTTCCAAGAAACCATGGAATCTAAAATTAGACACTGGGTGGGCACTCACTCACTGCTCTTGTGTTAAGAACAAGACTGGGTCCTGGGGACAAAGTACCCAGATGAAGACAACATAGACCACGCTTCCTTGCAGGGGGACTCTGGTTAACACAGTCATCGGGGTATTTACAGGCACAGATATGCTCACGGAAGAGATATATACATATGTAAATAATGAAGAGATTATATACATCACCGAATTGGAGAAAGGATGCTTTACCCAAAACACAACTGAACTCCTACAGGTTCAGTGAAAACAAAAACATTAACCTCCACCTCGTTCACACATAAGATCGGTCACAACAGTGCTGTCACACACCCACGTCACCGAAGACCTGAGCCACACAATAGGCCCCGTCCCCTATTCACTGTCCAACCAGTCAAGGCACACACATCAGGGGCTCTTCACACACACACACACACACACACACACACACACACACACACACACACACACACACCCTCCCTCCCTCCCTCTCATACACACACGCACTCCACAGTGATGCCGTCATAAACAGCGGCACCAACGATCATCGTCGTCCGCAGCTCACGCGCACATAGCTCTGAGGGTCCCGGCTTCACGTCGTTCATCTGCACACCGGGAACGTGGGGCCTCCTCACTGCCAGCTGCCCGACCTGGGTTACCTCCACTCACCAGGTGCAGCTCAATAACCACAACACAGGAAAGGGTAAACGGGCATTTTAAAGTCACAGCTTAAGAAATCCTCACATTAGCCAGAGGTCGAAGTTCACCGAACGCCCTGGGGCCTGTGGGAAACGTAGTCCAAGGCCGAAAATGTCCAGATGTTCGAGCGGAGCCCGCCGGCCGCCGCTAAAGCCGCGCCACGCCCCGGAGACTCCCTCTCCCGGGTGCGCAGACTGTCGACCTCGGCGGGGCGGCGCAGCT